TTATCAAGACTTTGATCGCTTGAATGTGAAGAGATTGCTACATTATCATCCCCACCAGTTTTAGTTGATGGTTGAGAATGTTCATGGAAGAAATCACCTTCTTTTTTTTCAGATGTTGCATGACTATGTTCACTCTTATGTCCTTCATCAAAAAAAAAGCTAAAGAAAAATATCATAAATATCATGAAAATAATTCTTTCTTAATATTTCATTACTTTAGTTCCATATTGTTTCATTGCTTTAGTAGCAAGTTGATGAAGTTTTTCACGATAAAGTTGTGCAGCTCGACTACTACATTTTTGTTGGCTATCTTTTGTTTCACAACCATGTTGTTGACAAAATGCTTCCTAAAAAAAATCAATCTTAGAATTTTCATTGATCATCATATGATATAATACTTACAGCATTAGCATTTCCACCAACTTGCATGACTCTAAATATACAAGAAAACATAACAATTGAAAATTAATATTCGAATAGAACATTCCAAAGTTGAAGCCATTCCAACTAGTATCAAGATTGGTTGAACGAATAAATCATACATGAACATCAAGACCATGATGTCTTGCAGTGATTGGGTACTCAGTAAAATACTGAGGATTTTTGATACTTTTACTGAGTATTCAGGATTACTTGAGTACATTCTAACAGTATCAGTAAATTTACTTGTATTGAAAGATTTTACTGAAGTATCAAAATTTGTACTCATTTACTGAAGTACCATTATTTTAAGTACAAAATGTACTTTAATCGGATATCAACATATTCTTATATATTACTACTTTGCATTCTTAGAAATGTCTACATAATATTCATAATATTTAAACCTACACACTATAAATTCATGACTTTTGAATTTTCCTTGGTTATCAATGTTGATCATTTATACCGAGGCTGTTTTATGACAATGGAGATAGAAATATCGTGATAATCATTATTCATATACATTTTTCTAAAGATGTCGCTAAGTTGAAGGGTGTGGGTGTGGATCACACATCCTAACATCGATATCTATGTGTTAAATGTACAGCTACGCTTCATTATGGCTTTAAGTACTCTAATGTACTTAAATACTGTACTTGAGTACAATTCAGTACAGTACCGCTACTTACTGAAATGTACT